ACGCCGTCTCATGTCCCACAATCCAAAATGTCACCAAGTTATTAGCAATATTTTCATCTGTCATAGCTAATCCTGTCACAGGACCACGTTCAGTAAGCATGCGCTGGAGAAGACCATCCGGCGCTGTGGTTAGGTTTTCCTTGCGTGTTGTAGTAACTGGAATCAGCAACGGCAACGAGTTAATTAATTCGAAATTCGAGAGATAAGGTACGAGACCGACTCACTTTCGCGCATCAGATCAAACATGATATTCTTGTCTGCTTCAAAACTAGGCATTGGCTGATCCTGAAAGGTAGTTTTGGACGAAGCTAGGACGGAGAGAACGGTGTCCGCATTCGATAAGGTACCTTTGTAGCTCCCAATGCCTACCTATATAGATCCCATATACATCACTCATGATTCCGAGATCGCCCCAACTCCGTCTGTTATCATTTGACATCTCATCCTTCCTCGCGCCCCCAACCAAATATCCAGATACCGAACAGATACCGAATGCTCTCCACTTCTCGATGCTTCGATCCCACGGTCCCATGTGCAAGGACGTTAGGGATGATCTTCCAGGTTCATTTGGTATAGCACCGATACAGTCTAGCAGCATATGTCCAATAAACACTCTGCCACGACTCAAACCATGACTTCTTCGTTCGAAGAGGGGACATTGCATAAGTACGCACATATTTATCAAATGTACAACATATGCTATATGCTAATAACCCGTGGCGAGGATGTTGTGCAGTGAATTACAGATGGTCTAGGTTAGACAGGTGTCGGGTTTAAGATACAGTTGAGGATGGCTACGAAGCAACAGTGCAGATGGCCGGGAGAAGCTAGACGACAAGCGCCGGTATAGTGCCGGGATGACGTATGGTTCACGGACTATGAATGTTCACAATAATTCCGCCGCTTCAATTGGCTTTCGACATGGGGATTTGTTCTAATGTATCTCTGATGTTTCGTGAGATTGGGTACTGGGCTTGCAGGAATAAAATATGTGGACAAGATAGACAATTCCACAAACAGAATAACGACGTTTACACCGACAGATTTTAATTTATTAAGTAAGAGGCCGCACTGACTTTTCAGAGGAAGTGTGGTAGTAAGGGATGCGGTTGCTTATTAGTAATTTCCTCTTGCTGGATTTGGAAGACTCCGGTTCACTCTCTGATTTGTGCATGCCTTGTGTTAGCTTTCCTCCAAATGTTTTCCTGCCTAGAATATAATGATGGCTTACACCAAACCCTTACAATGGAATCACAGGCAGTTGAAAAGAAGAAAGAAAACGTGAAGAAGAATGAGTGATAAATATATCGTGTTATAAGTATTCTAGTATGGAGAATACACGAGGATTCGACCAGTGAAAGTTGAGTAAACTCGATGCGCTCCAAAATTAAAATAAATAAACTGAGATGATTTAGAAGAAAAATATAAAATATAAAATCATAGCGTAAATATACTTAATGGAATTTGAATCCCCCCGTGAGACTTGCCAGATCATAAGGATCATATTGCGCCTGAATCCTTTGAAGCTTTGGCAAATTATCCCCAAAAATGAGCTTCGGATTCGTCAGGGGGTCTGCATAGTTCTGGTAGAGAATAGCATCCGGACTAGATTGCCCTTCTTCAATCGCGACTTGCTGAATGGCCCAGCCCGCTTTCATAATAGCAGCATGAGCGGCATTGTCCAAGGCAGGGTCACTGTACGAAACCGCCACATCGGCCGCTGTCCACGGATGCGCCGCAGAATGAGGGTAAGCGCTGTCGGTGGCGTGGTCATGCACGCAGGAGTGGAGCGGTTCCAATGTGAACTGTATGAAATCCGTGGGAGCTGTGATGAAGCCCGCTGCTCCCATTTTCTGGGTTTGATTTTGATATCAGTGGATTGTTAAATAGTGGTTATTTGAAGGACAAACGGACCATAGTTTCATTTGCGAAAGTCTCGGTTATACGTTTAGTATATTTAATAACTGGAACGGTGTGGGATGCCTGCCTATTCATGGGGTTAGTCTATTTGGCGTTTGATGAAGTGTTGAATGAGAAGCTGGCAAACCTTATAGCAGCAGGAACTATGAAATTTTGCAAAAAATCCACGAACGTACGAGTCTTGGTGCTATTAGCTATAGAAGGCGTGTTAAGAAATGCATCAAATGTTCCAGGAGGTTCAGGTCCATCGTAATAAAGGGCGACGTTTGTCGTAAACTGATATGCTGAGTATTGAGCAGGACTTTAATTCAACGTTGGAAAATGCTACTTACGCTGTCTCCTTGAGAAAGATAAATCAGCAGAAGCGAGGCATTCGGATCAGTGTTGGTGGCATCAAAATCTTCGAATGCCTGTTGGACAGCAGGAACGATGCCACTATAGCTAATGGTGCCACCCTAGGATGACATTATTATTGGGTATATAATTTAACAAAAGCTAACTTACCCAGATGAGCTCTTGTGGATGTGTTTTGAGTATAAACGAGGTTACAATTCCGAAATTATTTCCTCCGCCCTTAGTGAGAGAAATATGAACACAAGTATAAATCACAATAAAAAGGGATCGTTTACCTTCAAACCGAAGAAGAGATCTGGGTGCGACTCTGCTGTAACGTTCAAAATCTGTCCAGTGGGTGTGACGAGTTCATAAGCTACGACATTATCACTTCCAAGTCCATATTTCTGGGTATTCCATGCATAGCCTCCGCCTAGAACAAAGCCAGCGACACCTGAGTGGCTTTAGTAAATTCAACGAATTGACTCCAAAAAGGTTTTCGCGCACCTACGCCGAGAACGCGACCGCCAACAACAGTCCTTCCCAACGGAATAAGCTTGGCAAAAACGGCGTCCCATAAATTGCCAGCTCCGACTTTCACTGTAAAAGATGCTTCATCATAATTGATTTCTTTGAACTGACTCATGGCAATCAGAATCCCATTCGTTGAACTGAATCCAGGATTTAAGGAGTGGCCACCGCTTTTGACCTGATTATACAATATTTATATCCCAAGAGAAAAAAAATGAAAATGAAGTCATTTACTTACAGCCCATGGGCATCGAGTCCTTTGAATAACTCCAAACTTCAAGATAAAGATATATTAATATTATCTTATAAGCAATGGTTGATCAAAGCTCACAATGGTCGCAACTTCCTGAGGTGTGCTTGGTTCTACAGTACACGCGGATGGGCGGGAGCTAGATTGAGCCCAATGCTTGTTATCAGCTTCATACTGAAGGGATCCTATTTTCGGAATGGTCAGAATTCCACTGAAAAGAGGTAACGTAATAGATTATATAACTGACCGGGAAATGCTACTTTGCCGGGGAGAAGTTCGTTTAACAAAGAGCATGCAGCATCAATGGAAGCCGCTGCTTTAGGCTCTAGCTCAGTAGGAGGAAGCACAGATGTAAGGAGTACGGGAGATTGGACCATTGTGATATCCAATTAGAACGAACTACTCGAGGGGAAGATGTCGTTTGAGCATTGGGAAAGACATGCCCTTTTATCCTTGTTCTGCCTCCCTAATGCATAAATTTCCGAGCAATGTACGCATCTGCCGCTTAGCTATGGATAATGGTTCAAGTCGGCTTCTAAAGTAGGGAGCGAGGAAAAAACCTGCATGGATCCCTTGGCTTGCGGGGGACCCCGCCGCGAGCGCAGACGTCCGTATCTAGACGCGTAGAACCTAATGACATCTATAGCACATAAGTATATCATACTTACCTAGCGGACGGAAAGGATAGTAAACAGGCGGAAACGACGATGGTCAGAGGTCAGAGGCATGTCACTGGCGTCGGAGCGCCCCGCGGCTGTTCACGCGAGGAGTGGCACTGGCAGGGACAGTTCACGACGGCAGCAAGCAGCCGATATCCGAGCGGGAGAAAGCGGAAACCCTTGAACGACTGGTTCTCGCTCCCTTTCATGCATTTCAGCGTACGTCTTCCACTAAAACCATCGAGTAAAAATTTACTATTAACATACTATATTTCTAGGCTAGCGGTGCTGGTGGTGCTCACGCCTTTGACGGCTTTCGCAGCAGCTGCTGGCAACGTTTATGTAGCCATTACGGAGTTGTACATAGCTAGTATCAGAGCTAGTGATTATATTACTACTGCCAAAGCCTGCTTGAACACACCTTGATGTATCAGCATCCTTGCTCTGCGGTTTGTCATTTCGAAATTATTTCATATTCATAGGTGTTTCCGATAGGGATTCATAGCTCTAGAACTTCGAAGACCCTGATGACGACTATCATGGAAGAAAGTCGCCTACACCTCTACTGACAGGTCATAGTCATCATTATTGCTATTGGTTTGATAACAATTTTACTCTAGGAATCTTATTAACGAGTTGGCTATTTTTGGTAATTGAGAAGATATGGCCTATCTACGCAAATTCCGGTCTATCTTCTCTCTCGAAGAATTAAACCGAGTTCACAACTTCAAACACCCACAGCAAATATCCATTACCAAGTTTAATTTTATATTGAGAACGGTCATTCTGCATTGGAATAGGTTTGGTATGCAAATAAAGTAATGCACGCGGGGTATTTGCCTTCGCTGGTCAAATTCTTGCTGAAGATCCGATGGAGAGTGGGAAAGCAACCGTTGCCACACAAATATCAATGAAGGATATCCGGTTACCACCCGGGCATCTGAAAAAGGACTTACATTATTAGAAGACATAAAAGAATGAGTTATATTTCATTTTGGCTTATTTGGACGATTTTATGTAGACAATTCGGACTTTTCGCCGAGCACACTAATGAGATACATTTGAAGCCGAGCGGCTGCAGCTTGCAGGACCCAACTGTCTATTGGAATACTCAAACAATACTCTAAAGGTCATCGCTTCAGCAAGAATACAGATAGACTGTCGGGAATTTTCCCATGCCTTTTAACGCCTGGGAGAATTGGATAGTAATATCCTTGGGACTCGAATTCAAATTTAATAAATTATGGAAAAATGGGGTAATTACTAGTCATTTTAGAACTTATTAGGGACTAAAATGTAAAAACAATCTCTCAGGTGGGGAATTAAACCCCGGTCTCGCGCAAGTCTCGCGCGATCTAAAGTTGAACCCTTGACAAGCGCGAATACTAACCACTATACTACCTAAGATTGGTATTCGTGATTCTCACGGCACCCCATCCGTCGAGGAACAGGGGAAACAAGAACTACGAAAAGAAACTCGAAATATGATACCATAAACACAATAACTTAAGACGCAAACCCCACATGATCATGGCTAGTTTCACATCAGCCACTAGTAGTGAGTCGATAATACAGTTTGTGCAGAAACCACGTGGCTTCTGTGTGGCTAATTTTCGATGTGCAGCTATGGCTCTCCTGTGACTCCACCTAGTATCATCACAGCAATTGGAGCCACAGCGGAGCCACGGCGACACATCAAATATTAGCCACACAGGAGCGCCCTGGCTTCTCTTGCACAAACTGTCCAATATGAAATAAGTACCTTTAGATAGGACAATTTACAGTAAAACTTGCTGATTAGTGTAAATGCTCAATAAGCGCGGTTGATGGGGATTGCATGGCAGGCGGTCGGGATCACATCCCGCTCCCTCGGCTAAGCACCAGATACCGCACTAAAATGTATCTGATCGCAAGTTGATGGATACACTTACCCTTTAGGGAAAGGCCTTGGGTCCAGGCTGACAGAGTACGCAATCTTCGCAATGTTTTATCATTAAACTCTTTTCCAAAACAGCAACATCCTTACTTTCAATTATTATTTCTGCAAGCATCAGAATTAAAGAGGGGGTCTGCCTGACGGCCTCTGCTTGCACAACGTGTAAAAGTCCTGATCATTCCTAATGCAACTAGAAGAGTTTA